GATCCCTGTTTCTGAAGAACCTGCATCCAGAAAAGCCACACCCTGAAGACCCATCCTTACTGTTACCCCATTTTAAGTCTTCTGGAAGATGAGATATTCCAGCTGCATCTGGATGAAGCTTTTTATATCCTGATGCATATTGCACTGCTACAGTGATCAACTGCAGCAACTGATTCTCATTATTAAGTGACAAAATTCCCATTTTGATGTCATTAAATCAAGTAATATAACACACTGCTGAGACACCTGCAGGGGCCTCAAGTGGGGAAAGGGCAGCCTCACTATGTTTTCATGTCCCACCTTAGAACACACAGGTAAATGATGAGTGATTACACTTCCCAGCTCAAAAAGCTCCATGATGTAGCATTTTGCAAAGCCAGTAACACAGAGATTACAAAGTCTGTGGAAGAAAATCCTTGATACTGTAATGTCTCTGTATCAAACTGATCATCATCTCCATGGAAGCAGAGTTGTAGTGATTTCCTGTCTATCCTGGTTTAAGGCTGGATAGAAAGGAACTAAGAAACTTTTGTGTGAAGTTTGAACAAAAACATTCTCCCCTCACTTGAATCAGCCACTGCATGCAGGAAAACAGTTATGAAGCCTCCCCAGCTGCAGGTGTTTGCCTCAGCACACAATTTTTAGTATGAAATACTTGTGAAGCTTATAAAGGAGCTGAGGTAAAATTCCTTCCCTAAAAAGCTGCTTTGCAGCACTTCAGAACTTATCACTAGTGCTTTCACTTTTGATTCTCAAGAAAGAGATTCTCTCTGAAAAGCCAGTCAGGCACAGCCAATGGACACTATTGCTTTGCATCTCCCAGCAACTTCCAAGATTACAATGCAAACTAGGTATTTTTTCTAGAAGACATGAACACAAGTTTGAAAATTAAGTGAATGTTATAATAAAAGCCTATGTTGCAGATATCATAAAAATCCTATATTACAATGCAAACTAGGTATTTTTTCTAGAACACATGAACACAAGTTTGAAAATCAAGTGAATGTTATAATAAAAACCTATGTTGCAGATATCATAAAAATCTTAACTAAACAAACTAATGCTTTTTGACTACTCAGGGTAAATGTTACTTTATATGATAAACTAACTCTACCCTTCTCAAACTCTAAGGCAATAACATGTGATATAATACTTAGTATATATATATGTTTTTTTCTACATTTATATGAAGAAATTAGTATTTGTACCTGCATCTCAGAAAATGCAACTGATGCTTTCTAAAGAAAACAGTCTAGGTATCACTAAAGCCTCATTTGATAAGCAAAATGAGCATAATAGAAAATAACATCAACCAATTTAGCAGCAGAGAGGTGACCAACAAGATAAGCAGCTGGCTGGATAGCTGGCTACAGGGCACACAAGAAACACACACCACAACACCCATCTAAAATAATCGATATGGCAGAAATGGCTTCCTTCACGTCTCTCTGGAGCAGCTTTCCCAAAGGAAGAAACAAAGGGAGAATGAGAAGTGACAGGATGGAGACAGGATGGTTTAGAAAGGGCTAATCCTACTCACAGTTCTTCCACCTGTTTCATACGCAGAGATACACTGCCGACTTCCTTAGTTATGAGAGTCCTGCACAGACAGAGGGAGCACAGCAAATGCATGCAAAAGATTAGTCAGATTAACAAAAATAATGAAAGCAGCAGCTCCATCCATGGGTTGTCTGTCATAGGAGATGGCTTAGGAGTTCACATTTAAATGGAGAAAATTTGGTGTCATTCAGAAGCAAACAAAGCAAATCAGACCAGGAGCACAATTCACACAAGGAAACCTCAGCAGTACAGTTGAGCTCTCTCTATAGGGCCTTCTCATTTCCTGATCCTCGTGCCATTTGGTTGAAAACTAAAGGGTGGTTCCCCCTCCTTGGCTTTAAAATAAGGTTCCAGATCTTAAAAACAGCATGAAAACCCACAGAGAAAGTTACACATTATTAAAATTTTGAAAAATGCATCATGATTTTCCAGCATCCCTTTTTCTCACAGATACAAGATTTTTTAAATTATAATTTTTCGTATTTTGTTTTTGTGTGTTTTGTTGTTGTTGTTTTTAAATTCTAGAGCTAAAACTAGTAATAATTGTATGTCACTGCAAAAGCTGGTGACTCAGAACAACTGAGTGGGAAGAAACTGTGGTGCAGAATGACAGCATAGCTGTGCAGACAGATGGGAGCATGCATGGAACTTTCAGCTTTGGCTCCCAAGTGGCTTGATAAGATGAACTAAGCAGCTCACAGCTATCACCCCCAGGCCTTGCTTGAACTAATCTGCAACAACCATGTGCTTTAGGAGGCCATTATCAAGCACTTTTCTCTATGTGCAATGGCATGTTCCTCTTTTTAAAAAAAAAACAACGGAGGGGGGGGGGGCAGGTTTTAGCCCATGTAATGGCAACAAATAATGGCACATTTCAGGAAAAAAAGTCATAAACTACAGCTGAAGTAATCACAGCTCTTAAGCTGGTCACATTTACAGGGAGCCCTATACAGGGAGGGTACTGTACTTTACCTAACCAAATTTAAGAAAGCTTTTCAAAAGAAGTGACAACTACAAATACAAGAGCTGTTTAGGACAGATATAAAACTCACAAACAGGTTTAAGTTGTTAAGTACAACAACAAAAAGGAACACAAAATACTGAAATCAGACAGTGAGCTCTAGTGTAATGAGTTTTACAGTTAAAAATGGGAAAAGCAACGAGAAAATCTAGAATAAGTAGAAATAAATCAATATTGTTGTTTGTCCCTGGTAAAGAAGCCCCTTGTTTTGCTCCAATTAATGAGTCCTTAGTGTAAGAGGCATTAACCTAAACTTCTGGCATATGTGAGGCAAAGGCCAAGCCAGCAAATGCTGGATGGGTGTCATCTCTCATCAGTTAGATCTTACTGGTTGTCAATCTGCTCCTGTCGCAGTGCGATGCTGCCTTGTTCTTCCAGGAGATTCTCTCGGGATGCAGACTGGGCAGGGTCAAGTTTTTTCACATAGGCAGCTGGGACAAAGCCCTGACGATCATTAACTTCAACTTTCCACCAGTCCTGGAATGGGGGAATAACAAAAGAGCAACCACTGTGAGGCAAGCATCAAGCAGAAAATCTGCTGAGCAACTGAAAGCTGCAAATTAGAGGCTTCTATTAACACAAGAAGACTGGTGGCTTTTTTAATGGAGATGATTACAAACACATTGTCTCTTGAAGACATCTAAGTCTCACTTCCACTTCTGCCTTTGTTTTTGATCAAAAATTGCTCAACAAGAGGGAAATAAGTTTTGTCACAGAAACCTGCCCTATAGCATATATTGCTTATCTGACATAGAAAAGTTGGCAGCTACAGAGGAGTCATGAGAATGAGCTGAAGAGCTGTGCTGAAGTGCTGAATGGGAAAACAGAGTAAACATGCAAATTCTTTGAATGCTCTTTAAGAAAAAAAAAAACAGCTCCACAGAACATACCTTGTTGGTGCTGTTGAGTAAGGTGAGAATATCTCCCTTTTTCATAGTCACCTCTCGGGGACTCTTCTCCTGGTAATCATAGAGTGCCAGAACAAGCTCTTTCCCAGTTTCATCATCTGTGGGAGCAACTTGTTGCTAACAAAAAGGGAACGCAAGAAAAATTAGTTGTTCCACGTTTATTTCAACCAATGTAGATGTCTTCATGTAGACATGATGATGTAGTTTCAGACATTGAAAACCACCACATGATCCTTTTCTCTTCCACAGTAACACACTTGTTTTCATTATAAAACCAGACAGCTATATTTTTAGGAAAAAATCAACTAGTGTCTGCAATAAGTTCTCAGAAACAACAAATTTTATTAAGCTTTGTCTTTGCCTTCTGCTGACCCAAGAATTTTAGCAACACAATTAGAATCTTCCCTTACCCTGCAAGACTGGGCCTGTTCCCTCAGTGCCTGGATGCTGCTGCCATAAGCAGAAAGATCAGACATCAAAGCTTCATGTTTCTTCAGAAGAGCCTGAAAGCAAATAATAAAACCAACATGTACACCTAGCCATTTTCCAAGTGCTGCTCTGCTTAAAATACATACTTTGGTTCCATACAGAGGGAATGTGGGTTTTTCAGAGCTGCCAGTCTTGTGACTCTCATGAGAATAACTACTTCTATTTATTCACTGGCTAGATAGTCCAAATGCTTCTGGCACTTTTCTTCTACCTTATCTCAAACATTCTTTTGTTCTGACCAGAAGCACCACATATCACTCTGGAAATAGAGTTAAGTTTGAAAGGATGCCTTTAAAGTGCACTTCATTTTGATGAGAGGTCAGTCAGCAGTGTCTGGGATGTGGTGTTTGATCACAGAACGATCCTAGTAAAAGAACTCTAGACAAAAAAATTACTTCCAGACCAACGAATTGGTAAAAATCAGATTCATACTGAAATGCAACATCACACTAGGAATTTGCTGATATTAGTCTAATTATACTTTACAAAAAAACCCAAAACATACAAAAGAGTGAATATAAAGTTTCCTCCCAATTAGTTTAATACACTGAAAAGCAAAATTTGATGTCCAACTATAACTAAGACACAGGAAGAACTGTTATCTTTTGACTCAGAATTCAGCTTGATGAAAGAATTTTCTGCCCTTTTTGTTAGGAATTCTGAAATTAGCAGAGCTCCTTATTTTTTTAAGACTTGACAAATCCTCACCATGTTTATTAAAAAATGATTCAAACAATCTCAAATACCTCAGCAGAGTCTTCATCTTTTCCATAGTCTGTGCTGCCCACAATGGGCTCCTTTTCCCTCATCCAGGATTCTGCCTCATTAGCATCAGCAAAGTATTGCTGAGCTTGCAGGGAATCCTCGAGGTCCTGTCGACGCTGAGATGCTTTAGCTTTCAGAGAGTCCCATTTTTGGTTTAGCTCATTCAGCTTGATTTTCACATCCTCAGCTGCAAAATGTCCTAGGTAAGAGGAAAGGGAACTGAAGGACTCAAGGATACATAAAATTGCACATTAATAGATTACTTGTACGTCTTGCAAGTCACAGAAATTGAACCTGTTTACACCTACATAGCCTGTTCTGACTAGAATAATGAACATGCACCTCAGCTTGTCCTTTTGCCTCAGACTGGGAAATGCTGTACCTGTCCAACTGTTCTAGAAATATTTGAATCATTAAGAACTAAAACAAACCACATCATAACATTTCTTCTCAATGATGAAACAGGAAAGGTCATATCTTTCAAGAGTTTTGACAACAGACAAATATTATTTCCAACATGCATTCAAATCCTGGAATCAGGGAATTATTTTTTTTTAGTACTTTGGTATTAAGAACATACAATCAGAAATAAAGATGCTACTTATTTAAAAGCAG